GAAGTATATAGACATATGTATACACGATTATTGCAATTATGTACATACTCGTCAGACAGGTGTGTCGAGGCATGGCGGACTGACTGATGGTCGACCGTTGGACTTGTGTCCAGCTGCGGGCGGAATTGCGTTTGGGAAATTCTTCTCCATTCTTCAAACTTAATGCTAAAGTCTAATAATCTTCTATACGTGTTATAAAAATGTTAGTGCGTAGCATGTCTACGCGAAAAAATATTATGAGACTTTGTCTACAATATCATAAAATATAAAATAATGTTTAATAGAGTATTTGTCTATGCGTTTGTAAGAGAAAATCTTAGAAATGACATGTCCAATTTGTGTGCAGTTTTCACTATAGTAAACTATGGTGAACTTCAATTAAAATACTGTTTATGTTATACCAATCGATTACAGTGTTGTGTAAAACTCCACGTACAATTTTGTTTCTTTTGTTCCAATCGTTTTACAAGGAAGAAAAAGTTGTACGTTACTGAAACAGTATGTATACAATACATAAATAGCATACAAGTTTAGTTTCTATTATACATAATATATAGTTTAATTCGGTTTATGTATTACAGTGTCTACTGAAAGGCAAAAAAACAACTGAAACAAATGCTTCTCACTTGCGATAATGGTGAACCAAAAAAATCCTGCCATTTTCCTCTTTTTACTATTATATGTATCACATATTTTGATTTGTTCTTCGTAGAGTAGTTTTAGAAAAATATAATAGAAAAAACAGAATAGTAAAAAACTGTTTCATGTAAAATTGATTATTGATGTAATAAAAATTCTATGTTTTAAAAATAATATCTGAAAAGAATATTCTTAACTATAGTCGAACAACAATTTTTTTACATAATATTTTTTCCGAATCCGCTATCCCGCTGTCAGTTGCACGGTGTGTAAGTACAGCGGTTGGGTGGCAACAAGCTGTCTGAAACATGTCCAATTATATATCGCGCTATAACAGATACTGCAAATTCGAACCTATATACATTTGTGGGTGTGTGGAGATTATTTTAGACGAGTTACCATCAGTAGTTTTTCTCCTGAACTGGGATTAATATGTTCTATGAAATTATTACATTATTTATGTAGCTGTTTTATTTGAGATAGACTTTGAGTAAAGTTGCTGGGGTACCTTTATCTCTAGTTTGTCTATCTATTTATGCTTATTTGCCTTTCTAGTTATCATTACACAGTATGACAAAGTCACTGTCGCTGTCTGTCCGTCCCTATGTATGCTTAAATCTTTAAAACTACGCAACGGATTTCGAAGCAGTTTTTCTAATAGATAGAGTGATTGTACTACTAATGTAACACTGAACAAATGTCTGTTTAATAATAATAAAAGTATAATTAAATCTAGATAAGGCCCATATTGTCAGATCGAACTCCACGCGTTCTACATGTAAATCATAACAGCTAATTACTTGAGAATTCGTTGCCAAGACCTAAATGACCTGATTGACTTTTTTTTTTTATTAGTTTTATGTCATTGAATAACAAACAAACAGGCTGACGACCGCCTGACGGTAAGTGGTAAATGTTGCCTATATACATGAACACTACGAACACCATGTAACGTCCATGATATCATTCACGCGTTGCCATTGCAGAGGAGTAAAATGTCGAGTCTCTCGACTACCATTTTACTACCATTTTCCGTATGCTGCACAGCCTGTGTTAATGAAGCTGGGAGAACCATTCCATTCTCATCCCTGAAAATATGTCTGTCTATTTTACTGTAATCTGAAATACTTTACCGTTTTTTCTTTACTTTTCGTACGTACTTTGGGCCCATAAGTGTTTGTGCATTGTCTAACAGATAATCCACTAATTTATTATTTATTTATTAAAAAACCAATGCGAAAATTTCTTGCTCATACTCCTTGTTCCGAATGAGTAGTAGAATAAAAAAATGACTATTTAAAAGTACTTCATCATCATCATTCCACTGCAGTCCACTTATGAACATAGGCCAACCAAGGCACGTCACGAGGATCGATCTTTAGCACTTCTCGTCCTGTATTACCTGCAACCCTACGTAAAAGTGCTTATAGTAAGTTTTTATTTTATATGATATACCAAATTACATACAAATGAGTTCAGCCGTTCGAGTAACAGACATATTCACATGCAATCGCAATAGAATGTAGTACATATTTAAGATTAAGATATTTGAGTTGGTCAATGCGTCAGTACCAAGTAAGTAAGTACCAAAGTAGGTTACAAATACATTATGCCTATTTACTCAATACACAATAAATGATAAACTAAATATTTACATAGCTTGAAAATATGCGATAGTAGGTACTAAACTCGTGTATTTCTTCATCGCTATTAATATTATGATACAGTAATGGTGTCTGTTACATTTTTACAAGCTCCAAATTAAATTGAAATGGCGTATTATGAAAAATGTTAAAAATTGGTGGTTAAAAAAGTGCTCAAGATACCAGACTCGATCAGAGGTAGGGGCAGACCACGCGCCACTTAGTGGAACAATGTTAAGAAGCAGATGGACGAGGACAACCTTACTGTTCAGACAACCCTGAGTAGAGTTCTCTGGCGCAGATGTACAGGGAGACCCGACCCCAGGTAAACTGGGGACATGGGTTGGACAGACAGAGAGCATTATTAAAATTCTCAGAGTAGTCCTAGAAATAACAAAGATGGCGCTGAAAATCTGACCCGCGATCTTATGTAAGCAAACCACAGCATCTTGATCTAGCAATACCTGTGATAATACATACATAATAATAACACTATATGTCTTTAATAGTATATTAAAAAATGTCAATCTGATTTGTCATATGACTAGCAAAGGGACCCTTTGTCCCCATTACTGGGGTGAAGGGAATTGTTAGTAATGTGAACTAACAATCCCGTTGCTAGCAATGTACCATGTCAGTTTAACATCCACACGGTGCCCGCTGGAAACCATCGTGGTAAATTGTTATTTTCCAAGATGGGCTAACTGACCTCAGTTATGCTCATTTTATCATCCTGCACTGGTGCCCTGCCAGCCCAATCCGTTAGCGTCTAAAAACAACATAGTCTATTTAAGCAAATGCAAAATCTGCTGTTTTATAGCACAGGGAACAAACGAGCTTGTCCCCTGTGCTATAAAACAGCAATGAGTATCCGCAACACCAGGGTTGCAAGTACGTTGGCGGCCTTTTAAGAAGGAATAAGTTATTTTCGTAAAGGTTTCAATATTCGATTCGGAAATACCATTGCTGGAATAGTCGTCAAGCAGGATTACCTTTCAACAATGGAGTGTGTATGTATATATATTATACTTAATTTGACGTGAGACTGCACTATAATTGTATACAGTATTACAATAATTTTATTATTTATGTAATTCGAATAGCAAACAATCTTACGTCCACCTGATGTTAAGCGGTAACCGTCGCCTATATACATGAACAGCACTACGGACATCACGACATCATGTGACAACCGTGATAATCAAATCTAAAATCATTTATCATCTAGGACATTGCAGCCGTTAATTAACGTCAAGTTTTTTGTATTAATATTATTTTCCCTGCCATCCAGTTTAGTCTTCATGTCTTCTGTCCTGTAATTTTACTTTACACTATAACCGAAAAACAGCTTACAATCTAAACTCCTTGGCGACTAATAAAAATAAAAAAATAGTACCTCAAATTTAGTGAGAGTTGCTGACGATTAATTTTAGTTTTTTTTAATTTAAATTTAATTTAAATTCATTTCAATAAATAATGGTAAAGATGAATTTATTCTAATTTATTTTGATAAACAATGCTCCGAGTTCTTATGCTGTAATGGCCCCAAAGATTATCAAAAAAGACGCTTGGCTGTAAAATCACTGTATGGAAGTGTCCTATTAATATTAAACTGCGTTCTTTTTGTAATAAAAAATGACAAGATTATTCTCTAAAAACATATCGATAGCTAATCTATACCGTTAGGCGTTCGTATAGATGAAAAATTCAGGAGGGGATTATAGAAAAGATCACGCGAATACAGAAAAATATTTCATGCAGGCAAACTTGCAGTCAACGGCTAGTATTATAAAATATCGTAAAGTAGGTCTACACGTGTGCATAAAATCCATACATAATCTAACTACATAGAAATGAACTACATACGAGTACATGTTTCCAGGAAAACGCAGGCAGGCTTTAAAATTATAAAAGGTGATTTTGAAACATTAGTGTTTTCAGTTTTTTTATATAGCACAGTGCACAGTAACTAAATTCCCTTGAAGTGGCCACAGCAGGCTATGAAAGCGAATGAACTTGTGTACTAAAATCCGATTTTCAGTAAAAAACAAAAGAAAAATTTTCAAGCAGTGTTATGTACGTTATACTTACTTAGGTGAAATTCTGTAATGATGATGTTAGATTTGACCATCAAATAGCTTGCCAGTTGTGATTTAATTTGAACGGTGAACGACATTGCTGGGAATTTACCTACTTTCGGACGAATAATATCTTAGTACTCCTGGTTGGTACTGTTTATAAAAAAAATGATTAAAGTATGCATTACATTGCCAATCAACTTATTTGCCATTGCAATCATAGAATATAGCGATAAAATTTGTAATATCTTTTCATCTAATTCGATTCGAGAGCAGTAGAAGCGTGAAAAACAGCACTACTGATATTATGTAATATTATGTAATGATAATGAAGTAAAATGTAGTGGTTACTTGCTTAATTATAATGAGGATAATTTACCAGCTATTATGCAATACATTAAAATATTCAATAAATAGGTAACGATGTTATAATAAATACTAAACTAGGTATTATTACAATTTTGTTCAGATTCTCTTAATATATACTGTCAAATAATCGCGCGCTTCGTTTTTATTCGATCAGCTCCATCTATGATAAAATATGGTACTTAGTACTGCGGAAAAAATGAAATGAGTGCTTTTTATTTTATGTATGATATTTTAATAGCGACAAAACGAATTATTGTACTTTTGTCTTAACTACAATATTAAATAATTAATTTACAATGTCATAGGAGTCAAAATATCAACAGTATTAATTGAACATTATTACAATCGACAGCAAATGTACCATTATTTGAAAACTGCCGCTACGTGACATAGTGTTTTCGCCACCTAGCGTTGAAATTAGGAAACAGAAATGAACAAAGAGAGCTAGCTAGCCACCACTAGAAATTAAGGTTGTGTGTTATCTCTGTCAGTTGCGCATGGATCGACCGAGCGTGAATGCGATAGACTGTACTTTCGGCCATCATAACCATCTTTCTTTCTTGTGCAACTGTTTCTCTTCGGCCGTGTTCTAGTGCAAACGCAGGATGGACGCCATTCGTGCGAGATAAAATTTTCTTCGCTCGGGAAGCGATAGTTAAATGTGTGTTCAGTGGCGGGCGTGAAGCTATGCTATAGTGTATTTGGTGTTCCGTGCTTACGGTCTGGCCGTGTGGTGTCGACGTACGAGGAGCTCGGCTTCGGCGCGAGGCGAGAGGCGCGTGCAGGCAGAGTGCAGCGCGAGGCATGGCGGGCGCGAGCTGAACGGACGGCCGCTACTTCCGATATCAGCCCGCTCGCGCTCCGCCGCCGGCCCAATGAGCGGGGCAGGTTCTACGCGGCGGAGGTTATTTTATGGGTATTTGCGTGAGCTGCCGGCGCCGCGAGCGGAAGGCACCCGAGAAACGGTCGGTGCCGAGCGCGGGCGGGCCCGCTAAGGGCACTGCGGCGGCTGAGTTGCTGCCGCGCCGCGTCGATCACCTGCCAGCCATGGCCAACTCCATCTCCAATATCAAGATGACGAACCCTATCAAGGGAATAGTCAGCAAGCGCCGGATACGTTATGTTAAAGACGGATTCAACCTGGACTTAGCCTGTATCCTTTTCTGTGTTCAGTGTTGTTACCGTGTGTGAATCGCTTTATTCCGCGAGATCGATGTCGCGAGCGATAGGTAAGTCCTTTTTGTGTCACGCTCAGGTTCGACCTTGAAATCTCATTAGGTGGCTCGTTCTGCTGGGCACGGGCAGTGTCTCGCCGTTGTCGTATCGTAACCTCGGAATACGTGTGACAACTCGGTCCGACCATCCTTTTAGATTTGTCAAGGGCATTCGACTATAACCTATAAATTTTATACGTAAAACCGCAGCTACGAAATTGGCTTCATGTTGAAAGTCAATGAAATTTAGATTTGTTATAGATATCGATATCTAAAGTTCCATTAATTTGCGGATGGCTAATTAGTATACACAATAAATTAATGAGTTTGTGAGTGTTGGAACAAGAAAAACTGCTCAATTAGCTAGGTTGAAATAGTTCACATTAGTGTCGTAAAATTAATATTAGACTTCAAGAAATGACATTTAAATGTAGTAATGAAATATAGACGCATAAACAGCGGCATATTATTCAGCTAGACAGTGTTAATCTTGCATAGCAACAAGCTATATAACCTATACTATTGTATACACAAGTTGTGTATACTATTTTTCTGTGAGACTGTGTACACAGAAACTATGTGATAGTAATTTTATATAACTACAAAGATATGTAGCTATAAATACTGTGATTATGAAGTCCTACACTGATAGTGTTGTGTAGATATTGGCTGCAATGTGGATATGAATTTATTTTGTCTAGCGATGAGCATATTGGTAGTAGTATGGGTTCATATCTAATTAATGTTTATCAATCTTGTTATTTATATCGCTAAAGATACATCAATTAAGATTTTATGGGTGGTTAGGTTATCTGACAAAGTCTAAGCTTGGTGTGTGCACACTCGCTCAGTGTTGTACGCAGTCATAACTCAACACTTGCTAGTGTAAATGTTAACAATTTTAGTCATATTCATAGTGTTGCTATGATGTGAGACAGCAATAAATTATCTTATGACTAATTATAATATTTATTCTGTGAATTCTACACAAATGGTATAGGATTTTAATGCAAACAAATCTATGAAAAAAATAGGCTTACTTTTTCATTTATTTGCATCTGTATTTAAAATCTATGCTATTAAAACTAACATTAAACATTATTAATTCACAATTCTAAGTGCAATATGAGATGTTTATTTTATTCAATCAAATTTGAACCATCATTGTATTAATCTATAAAATGAATTCTGCATATTGAATGTCCCTAGTTGAGGTCACTAACCCATCTATATAGGTACATAATATTAATATATATCTAGTCATTCTATCAGTCTGTTAGCATTATTTTTTATTATACAACATTATTGTTGAATGTCACTGAGCAAAGCATTTTGTACTATGAATATTAAATAAGAAAGTTAAGATATGATGTCAATTACCTCAAATATTTGCATTTGACTTAGCAAATGCATTTGTATATTTTTTTTCAATCTCTCGTATTTACATGCATATGCATGCTATTTTATTTCTCTTTATATTTAAATTTGTGTGGTAAAGGAGGCCTTTTCTTATGATTTCTATTGCAAATCATAGTGTCTTCTCTAAATTATAGTTTTCATGAAGTTAACAAATTATTCTCTCTAAATAATGATTTTTATTATAATAAACTATGGCTACATTTAATATCATATCAAATAATTGTGATTTTAGACTTGGTAGTGTACATAATACTGCTACTGCTTCAGGTATCCATAAGCTATTGGTATTGTTACCATCAGATGGATATGCTTGTTTGGTACCATTGTGCTATAAAAAAAGACTGAAATCTTTTAAATTTGTTGAATATCTTACAATGCCTTTGTAATAACATATTAGTATGTAAAATGAGATGTTAATATGTCAAATACAGAGTAAGGCTTATTATAACTTCTAATCTCCATCTTACCAAATCCTTATTTTTAATTAATAAATAAAAATTGGAATAGTTTTTGGGTGTTTTTGGGTTTGGTTGATTAGTACTGTAATTTACATGTAATTGCATAGTGTTGAAGATGTATCAAAGTTAATTAAATATAGGCCATTTATAAAAAACAGTATTCAATGAGAATAATGAGTATGCAAGTAAAAAACATCAATTGAGATATTAAATTTACTGCTATATACTTTTGGACTTTCTCATACCTACATTCATTAATTCTAGTAACTTAAATCTACATATTATATTCCAATATAAAGCTAAATTATAAAAATAGTAATTAATATAAAAAAAATAGTACTGGTGGTGATTATTCTGTTAGGCATAGTTATATGAACACTGGCTATATTCTATTGCGAAGAAAGAAAAGAGGTAACCATCTTATTATCTGTTGGAACATCATCATCATTGACTTTGGTGCATCTTGTAAAATTTCTATATTTATAGATTTTGCCCATCTCATCAACAGCAAATTGCCCAAGTTGTAAATATTCTCAATATAATTAGTAGATTTTCTGTAAAAGTTTTTAGTTGTCAATGTTAGTGTGACAAAGAAGTATTTAGTAATTGTTACTCCTGTACACTATACTTGTAAGAGTTTTATAGTGTCCTCATAGAGATTGAAAGAGTTAAATGCAAATTTTATACTTGCATCTGTTCTTTGTGGTTATATTTATATACATATATTAGCATTTCCATGTCACATTCAAATATTACTATATGACTTTAGATTGGGGATAGTGTAGTTGTTAAAAAATAATGGAAAATAAGCTCACACTGTTTATTGCGAGGAAGTAGTATTATTCTAGTAATTTCACATTATTAGCTCCCATTTTTATATTAATTTACCATTTGACTAGGGAGGTCTGTGTGGAATATAGTTATAGACTAGTTAAATATAAAATTAATAAATAATAATTTATAGAATATTATTTATAAACCATGTAAAATTTTCTTGGCAAGTATTTGGGTCCTCAGTTTATAAAACTTAAAAATTATATATTTCTATTTTTATGTTAAGGATCAGACACACTCATATAACTTAGAAATATTTGTATAATAACACCATGTGACTTCCATTTGAAATTGTTACTTTTTTTCCTCTCTCTTATTAATTATAATTAAGACTATATTTTCTATATAACAACCATTTGTCTGTTTTATCAACTCTCTGGAATCCTTCCATCTATTCAGTTGCCATATTCCTTTTCTGTTTTTTCCCCACAATTTGGTGTTTTCAGGTTATAACAATGTTTTCGACGGATTACATGCATAACTTAAAATCTTACCCACAAAAGCATTTACATATGCATTAGTTCATCTATGCACCAAACTATATCTTTTCGAAAATTAATAAATATTTTAAAACGGTTAGTGGTTACTAATGGTTCGTTATACTGCATTAACAAAAAATATTTTTATTGTAAAATGGATTTTACAACATCAGCATTAAATTGAATTTTGCTTTTTTTTTAATAACGTAATATTATGCCATATAGCCACAGACAATATAGCTTATGGTCTATGTGTCGACATACGAGACGGCGCGGCGGCAGTGCCAGGCAGGTCATATTGTATTAGATACAGATTGACTTTTACCCCGACTTCGTTCGCGTTGTATTAATATATTTTTCCATTGTCACTTCCTCGATCAAACATGTAATAAGGGTATATATTGGCAGACAAAAAAATCGCATAGTATTTAAAAATTACAAATTTTGTTGGAACGGTTTTCGTTAATGGCAGTCTCTGGCGATGAACCATAGAAGAATGATAGGATAAAAAAGAAGTTGGTTTTGTTAGCCCAACGTTTTGAATTCATTAGTATTTAATTACAGTCTACCTGATATGGTATATTGTTAGCGAAAGATGTACCAATCCATATTGTTAATAATCCCGTCCTCTCAATACACGTACAATTGTCCCCCGTCTGTGCAGATCCTAAGACGAACTACACATGACCATAAAAGAGCAGCGGTGGTGAGGGCCCCGGATCGGTTCCTAGATTGTCTCATGAATGCGAAGGTCGTTTATATCTTCAAATTATTGTCCTATATGTATCACAAGATTATTAACCAAGACGCGTGAGAGACCTTTATAGAGTTATAACATTTTACCAATTTCTGTCTGGTCACGTTCATATAATTCAATTTATGGCATTTCAATGCCCAGTTTTTAATATAGATCTTCCTTTTTTACACACGTACCGGCTACTGATCACTGTAATAGGGATGTGCGGAAGAGAAGCGTCCAATTTTTACCCGGGGCCGAAGGCATTGTTTGTAATGGGACCCTAATAGCACTGTTACCTTATCAGGTCCACCCCGTGGACGTGGTCCGCTCTGGGGACCATTGTATTTGATTTTTTATACTACAATATTTTATACTACATCTGATGGTAAACGGTATCCGTAGCCTATAGACGCAGAGTATTTCAGATACTCTGGGTCACGTGCGCGTTGCCAAACCTCAATTACTGTTAAATTCTCCACAATGGTCTAAGCGGTATTCCCAAAAAAGACTTTGTAAAAGTCTTTTGCGTGGGTACATCAGTCTCACCTATTTTAGCTGCCAAGGAGCTTACTTTGTAAACCGTGATTGTGAGGGACGATTACGGAGTGAAATTACAGGATAAGAGGCATGACATCTTAGTCCCCACTAATGGTATCAAGGGAGTCACGTGATAATGTGAGGTCCGTGAATTACATAAAAAACATCCTCCACTGAATTACCGCCAACGTATACTATTAGTAGACGGGTTCTGTTCCATATTCGTCCAAAAGAAAAAAGTGTTACCACTGCCATTGCTCAGATATTGCCACTAATTTTAGGGTCGTGTGTAGACCGTTTAAACGGTAATGGTATAGCAATCACGGACACGCGACTATCTCTGACAGAAACTGTCTCTGGCCTGCGCGACTACATTGGGTGCGTTTAATCAGGCGGCCATTATCAGTGACCTAGAATATTTAGCACATTGTCTGTCTGTCTACCCCGTATCTCATTGACGTGCAATAAAAATA